TGGAGAGAAATGTGAGTGCAGTCACTCTTAGAAGAGGCAATCTGTGTGCCCCTCAAATGAATAGGCCACCTTTATAATGATCCTATCTCGTCAAGTGATGCTGCTGTACATCCGCTTTAAAAAAGAAGGATTGCCTTTTCTGATATGCAATGTAGTAACCTACCCATTTTCCCCTCCCTTCCCCTACCATTCATGGAGAGGCTCTTGAGTCCTAGGAACTAAAAATAGTCGGGTGGATAAGTTTAAATTGAGATATTTTGAAGCACTGCTTGCAGTGACACAAATTCCTACAGTGTGATAGCAAGTTAGGAGTAGACTGCTGTCCTGACTGTCTGACTTCTGCTAGCAATTGGTATTTCCAGTTGTGAGAAAGCCTTAAGCCTATTGTCCCTGGGAGACACCTTAGAATGGGGGGTGAAAATCATAGAATCATTGATGTTAGAAAAGGCCTTTAAGCTCATTGAGTACAACCATGAACCATGCCCACTAAACCATGTTCTCAAAATAGGGTGCACGTTAGAGAGCACAGATGGCTGAGGAGAAGCAGCTCTGGCTTCAAACAAATCCCAAGCCTCTGAGTGTGTCGTGAGCAGCGGAGAACACTGCAGGAGCTATGGGGGAATCAAAGAAACGCCCTAGAAATTATTTGTGACACTTATACTCTGAATCTCCCTGCCACCAGCTTCTGTTTTCCGCTAACTTCATGAAATTCAGATATTTTTTTAATTTCTATTTTCTCTCTTGTTGTCCTTTCCTTCCTTCTGAATTGTCCAAGCAGCACAGAAATCTTCTCAGGAAGGGATGTGGTTTGGCTCTTTACAGTGATGACTAACTAAGCCCCTAAAGATCTCCAGCTTCCCCAGAGATTAATCACTTCTTTAAAGACAGAAAGTTGCTGTAATAGTGGGAAGGAAGCAAATTTGTACTTCTCTTTCTTCAGATGAGGCAAAGTATTGGATATTCACAGTTATGAATGCTCTTCTGCAATTCACTTGACGTACAAAAAAGAGTCCCTGTTTGCTGGCTGTTCTAGTGACAAACTGAGCAAAGCACCAGGGTGCATAGTAGCCACTGGCTAGCAATGAAGACTGAAGTCCTATTACTTTTAGCACAAGTTCGACACATTTGAATGGCTTCCCACACTGCCGCACTAATCTGCATCAGCAATGCTCTGAGTGGTTTTTGACTAGGCATGTCCAACTCATGTGTCCTGCGAAGGCTGGGATGATGTATGTGGTTATTCCAGAGGTTGGAAAAAAGAGCCAATAACAATATGCAAACAGGGCAGGAACTTAGCAAAGAGACAAGCCCAAACCTCACTGCAAGGGGTGTTGCCGCTCTAAGGAGTGAGCTGTAAGGATTTGTGTCTTTGCTGGGGAAGGAGAGGCACAGCTCAGCAGCTTGTCAACATGTAGGGCATCATGAGGTGGTATCATCAGCTACTGCCAGCTCTTCCCTGTGTATATTTTGCTCCGCACCAGCCACTGCCGAATCCTCATCTTGTCACCACACTGAGGTCTGCTCCTAGAGTCAAATCCTTGCCTAGTGTAAATAAGTGAACGCCACTTACACCTGTGTTACTGCGATGCAAAGCAGCTGTTAGACCGCAGTGTCACCTCTGGCAATTGGCAAGTGACTTGCATCCTCTTAGCAGAGGCAGAGAAAGCAGGTTGAGTTGTCATGCCTTGGCGGAGTTGATGCAAAAAAAGTACGTATACTAGAGAAAGACTAGGAAAGATGGTGGAGGAATATGAAAATTAGGAAATTTCCTAAATTGATTGATGATCTTGAGGTCAGCACACAGTTAACACAGATCATATCTGCTAACTACCACAAAAACGAAGGAAAAATCATACAGAAGAGGGGAGGCAGGGACGTTGACTCAACTTGCCTACGATCTGAAAAGATTAGAGCTCTGGTAAGCATGCAGTGAGGACAAGGTCTACAAAACCTCTAGAGACAGGAAATAAAGAGCAGAGCTACAAATCTTAAGTTTGAGAAAACCCAAGACTTTACAGGCAATAGCAGTCTTACTGAGATCCTTGCAGGGTAATAGATGTTTGAGGAATATCAGTTGCTACTCTCGATGTGCAAAAGAATTTTTATGTATCTCTGTTGTTGTACAGGGATTTCAGTTATTCATCTAGAAATTTGTTTTTTCTAGATACTCATCTAGAAATACTATACATGCAATTCTGTTTGCCTGAGTTGCAGGGACAGGTGGGAGAGGGAGAAACTCTCTGTAGCTTAAAAATGACAGTGAAAAATTAGAAAGAATGAATACAAGGACAAGAGAAATAAAACCCAAATTGGAGAAAACATCACAGCAGGCATGAGGAAGGCATACATTCTAGAAAGAAAAGGTGAGGAACCATCTAGGTAATAGTCGCAAGAAACCAAAAAGGAGTTTTTCACATTCTTGTGGTGCAGTGGTGGGAACCATGATGGAGAAGGCCATAGCAAAGCAAGGAGGTTGCGCTAAGCAGGTGCACTAGGAATATATTTAGATAGGTAGCACTCCAAAAGGAAAATATCTGATTAGGTAGTCAGAATGGTCCTTAAATGGCTATTGCATTCACCCCCCAGGCTCTCATGACTGATTGTCCAAGTCACCTACCATAGTTAACCCAGATTTTAAAAACTTTCCTAGCTTCTAAACTATGAGCTTGATTTTTAGGTCCAGTTTAGCAAAACCCAGGAGTCTCTGTGTCCCAGAGTAGGCTACGCTACAGTCGGTATTTCTAAGGAAGGCAGAGAAACAGACCATTAAACTATGCTGGCTCTGTGGGAGCCTGAAGCAGCTGTAAGATGCAAGCTCAAACATCCTTGCGAAGGCTACATCTTTCTGGCAAGAGATGCTATATCTTGTGCCTCCCATGCTGATAGCGTCTCTGCAAGCAGCCTCCCCAGGGAGCCAGTGCAGCTCAGCAGTCCCACATCCTCCTGTGTTTATTCCAGGTATAGGTGCTCCTTAGCACCTTCTATCACTCTTCCTTCGTTCACAGAGTTACTGGCTGCCGATTGTGACTTTTATTTTAATGGCTGCTGTGCTTCAGCTTGATCAGGACATAGAGTTTTGCCTTCACAGTTCCTGTGAAGATTCGTAACCCAAGAAAAGGCCAAGCTGTTCATGTGAATTGCCATCCATGGCACAGTAAACTAGAAGGGGTTAAGCGGTGGAGGGGTAATAGGAGAATAAAATATTATCTCAGTCTGCAATGCTTCTGGGAACCCTACCTCTAGCTGGCAATAGAATTGCATCACCTTCTGCCACGGGCTATTTTTTTGCCATCACAAATGCTCTGCATTAAATATATGGCTTTCCTGGGAGTCTTCTGTGCTGACGCTGTCCATGGAAATAAGTCTTGATGTAAAGCAATTGCTAATCCACTGCTAGGACTATCAGGTGGCAGTGAGCAGCTGAACATGCTTTTCTCAACATTCACCTCATGCTTGTACATTATTCAAAGGGAAAAAATAGCTTCGTCCTCAGGGAGGCTGAAATTGCTAGTTTCTTTGCTGTCCTAAGGAAAGTGAGTGCTAAAGAATAGACATTATACAAGGCACCAGGTCAGTTGTACTGCCTAGCAGGGCCAGACATAAGGGACCCAACCTAGTCAGTCCTCTCACTACAGGGCACAGCAGTAAGACAACATTCTGCCTGAGGGGAGCAGACTCGGTTTGAAAGTTACCTCTGTAGGATCTCTTAGGCAGAATAGCTAGAGGAATGTTTAGCCGAAGGAAAAAAGGAAAGATTGCCTTGCAATATTATCTGGCCTGGGGAAACACATCTAGCATTTGGAGCAGAGAATTAGAAGTTAGAGTCTGTGTGCTTTATTTCTGATTCAGTCTAGTAACTTTTCCATGTCTTCATTTCACATTCTGTTCCCCAGCTAATTAACTTTAAAAAACCTGCTTTATTTCTAGGCTCAGAGAAGTGTAAATTAGTCAATCATACTGCACACTGAGGTACTCATATAAAAACAAGTTTTTTTTAATGTTATTGATAGATCACAGCTGTTAAATCAGGTAACTTCTTGTTTTGCCTTCCTGTTTGGTTATGAAATACTCCATTTGTAGCAGAAACCAGGAAAGATATTCACACTTAAGATCACTTCATGTCCGTCACCAGTAAAAATTTTCAGTACATTATTCCACCTGGGAAGGTATCGACTAGTAGGGATCCCACTACAAGGAACTGTTCCTACAGCTGTTTTACCAGCTCCTGCCTGTCTTCCTGGCAGCCCTCCAATGCCGATACATAAAGAACAATACATTCTACCAGAGCTCACCAGCTGCTGCCAGACATGGACAGCCTTGCTGGATTAAGTACTTGCAGTGAAAACATCGTATGAAAGCCAATGTAGACAAGTCCCTCCCTAAGCTTGACAAGGTGAGAGAACTAAATGAGCTGCTGACAACACTCTTTTACGGATATGCTTACTGTAAATTATCTCTACTGGGTCCTTAATCATATGTAATATGACGTGCCTCTATGCCCATGTAGAGCTCAGCTGAACAGAGGACTCCTTGGGAGCCCCTCGGAATAAGCACCCTATGCTTGGTCACCCAGATAGCTAAGGAGCAAACCGAGCTTCTGTGAGATCTGTGAAAGGCCAGGCTGGGGAAATTTAATACCCAACTTCTTTCCTGACACCATCATTTCCTCTGAGTCTTCTTCCGCCCAGAGTGGTGAAGAAACCAATGACCTCCACCCTGTTGCCAGCACATATAGGTGCTAGAGCACAGCTTGTTGTATGGCAGCAGCTTCTACGAGTGACTGCCATACACCAGACCCTTTTCCTCATCTCTTCCTTGGGACATCTTGGCTAAAATAGACCGCAGAGCCAAAGCTACAACAGGAAGTCCCAGTCCCTGCGGGTCTGACTTGACTCTGCTTCTTCCCAAGCTGGAGGAGCTAACTCACTTGACATTTGCAGGAATTAGGCTTTTGGAAGGAGATGCAGCATAGGGTGAGTGGCAGGGTGTAGAGGACTTACTGGCCTGCTTGGCTTTCTCCACGTATGTGGTGGTTAGATCATCATCGACCGGATGCTCCACTGGCCCCACCATGGGGATGAGATGGCGTTCTGCTCGGATAGCCTTGGTAGCATGGGGCAGGAGCATCGCCTCTGGAGAAAACTCCGGTCCCTCTGTCAACGGTGGCTGCAACTGTCCCTCGCTCTCCGAGAATGGAGTGTCTGTGCGGCTGCCAGGTGGGCAGGCAATCTCCCTCCTGGCTACCCTGCTGGAGCTGGCCACTTCGGCCCCCCCCTGCGCAGCAGCCTCCGGCATGCTCTCATAGCCACTCTGTTCAGACAGGGACACCTCGCCCTGAGGCGCATCTGCCTTGCTGTTGGTGCTGTCGGGTGGGGACCGTTGGCTCTTCTTACGAGCCCGGCGGTGCTTCTCCTGGGCCACATTGTCAGCATCGCTGTCTGTCTCACCATAGTAGGCCTCACTATCCGGCGGGGAGGTGAGGCTCTCCAGGTGCCTCTGTGACCTCCGTGGCTGCACAGTGGTCGGGGGTCCAGCCGGCTCAGGGCTGAGTATCTCTGCTGGGGGGCTGAGTGGGGATGGCGGGGAGAGCACACGCTGCCCTGGAGAAGGGGAGCGCTGGAGCCGTGGGCCGGTCTGTTCTCCACCAACTATCCTGTGGGGAGAAGAAAAAGCGGTGAGTGAAGTCTGGTTGGTGCAGCTGAACTGGAAGGAATCCCCCACATGTAAGAGCAGGGTAATGATCGAGCCAGTTTCAGGTGTCTTTCAGGTGGTACAGAAACCTGAAGCTCAGACATCAGCTACGTGCTATCATTCTGCTTCTGACTCTTTGAAAAACAGGTGTTAAACACTCGAAAATCAGAATACCGTGAGAGCAGAAAAATCTACTGAGCCAGCTTATTCATCTCCCCATCGATTTCTCCTGGGGAGGTGAATGCCTGCATAGCAAACATTCCCCAGAACAGCCTGCTGCTTGCTGGGGTGGACGGTTGGTGCCTCAGCCACCACACTGCACTCCTGCTGGGACTCCACTGTGGAGCTATGACAACTCTGCTGATGCCAGTACCCCCAAACTTCTTTAGTGCAAAGTGGCCTCCAAACAAAGAATTCGGTGCTATTTGTTTGGCCTAATGGGGCTGATTGGTGTTTTCTCTGGGAACACAAATATAAAATGGGAATAGAGATGTGATCAGAAAGCAATATTTGATATAGTTCTCCACTAACCCAAGATGAAGCCAACAGGTTATGTTATTTCCAAACCATCTGATCTTGGCTCCCAGAGGGCTGTGAGAAGCCTGCCTTTGTCATTTTGCTAATTCATAGTGTGCTGATTTTGGCCCATTGGAATTTGCCCAGGCACCTGTTGGCTGCAGATAGGGTGAGATAAGGCCCTGGCAAGGGACGAGGAGCTATTCTGGACACCTTGTACAGGGAGTCACTCACTCATCGCACTTAATCACAGCTAGGGTATAGGGTGAGCACATCAGAAGGCACCGGCGCTTTTCCTGAAACCAAGGAGAAGATGCTACATGCTCAGGCTTTCCTCCTCTGAGTGCTGCCCACCTCTGCCCCCACTTTACATAGGCCAGCAACCAGCATGGCTGTCCTACTGCTCAGAGTGCTTTTCAGGGCTGTAAAAAATAACATCTGCAGCTCCCTTCACCAGAATCTTATTTCCAGAGGGAGACTTCTGTTTTGGCAGTAGTGTGGACTTAGCTGAGACCTCACACAGCTTTGCTGCCTTCGTCTTTATATGATTCATTTACAGCTTGGGCCTCTTCCTGTACGCACCGAGGCAATGGGTTAGCTTAGCACAGGTAGAACTAGGGATGTTACTTGGGACCATTTTTGTGCTTAAATTTAAGCCTGGTCTCCAGAATTCTGCTGGCTTAGAGACTGCCAAAGATACTTCTTCCTGTACAAAGGACCTCAACTACACACCTCTTATCTTTGTGGAAGTCAATTCACACCCTGTCGGACTACAATGGCCTGTTTGCAGGACAGCCCTCATGCTGCCAACATTTCCCTCCTTCCTGAGGGGCAAGGGCAGGGAGGTCTGCGTTCAGTTCAGCCCCAGGGCTAGGCACTCAGGAGAGCAGCACAGAGACAGTGCAAAACTTTTGGCCGCCCACGTATTAACCATGGGAAAGTCCTCCTAGTACACCTTGCAGTATGGAGAAACCAAAGACTTCCTGCCTGCCGCCTTTCTGCTAGGTGTGGATAGCTGCTGCACTGGGTGAAGCCGCCCGTACTGTCACACCACGGGCACTTGGGAGCAGGTTACCTTTTCACGAGGATGTTCAGCATGCCATTGGACGAATCGATGATCTGCATGGCAGTAGCATGGGAGAGGCCAGCACACGACTTCCCATTGATAGATACTAGCACATCATTTTCCCACAGGCCTCCGCGACACGCTTTGCTTCGCTTTCGGATCTGGAAAAGGAGAATAGAGAGGATAGGGATGATGGGAAGAAGAGCAGCTATTTAGTTCAGTTGCTTGTATCATGCTGGCGCTTCTATTGCTGTCTGCCTGACAGAATAAAATAAGGCCTAAGACTACTGTGCTGCTAGGGTGGAAGATCAGTCCTCTTGGCTGAGCCCTGGCTGTGTCTTTCGGTCTCTGTATTCCTGTTAACTCCAAGAGTCACCCTGCTGAGCATAGCCCTGACCTGATTACCAACTCAATTTGAGTCCTTCAGTGCAGGTGAAAAACTCAAGAACATCCACGTGCCTTTCTCCTCTCATTCCCTATCTCCTAAGTTGTTTAGGGAGTCTTTGTTTTGGAAAGGGAACAGAAACTCTTTCCAGACTATCCTTGTACATGGCTGTGTGTCCATCTGTACACCCCAACTGTGCTTCCTTGGTATGATTCCTTGACACTCATGCAGAACTCCTGTAGGCACCACCTTCTGGGAAGCAGATACTGGGAATAAAAATGAGGGCTCTGAGGCACTTCTTGCTGTCAAGCATTCCTACTCTAATGGCTTTGGCCAATGTATTGCTGGACATCTGCATCAGGCCATATGGTATCCTGTTACGTAAGTGTAAACGTGAAGTAAATCTTTAGCCTTAACAGGAGCTGTGCAGCATATGCATTACTATGTCTGAAAATGGAGTTTGGGTCTACAGTTCCTAGATCTGGCCTCTCATGGCCATGTTACACCAGGTGCTTGTTCTCCCTTTTGTTCTATCATCCACCAGTTAGTTAAAACTTCTTACTGAAACCCACAGCCTAGCCTTTCTGTTAAGGCAAGCAAAACAAATGCCCAGTCAGCCCAAAACCATGGATATCTCCAATATAGGAAAGCAATGGGATAGTCTTGTAGTACAGGTTGGTACCCATAATGCTCTTATTTTGCATGTAAAAAAAATAGCCTAGCAAAAACACTGGGTCAGGGCAAATCAGGCCCCGCTGGATTTGTTGATGCTTCTAGGCTATTTCTTCAGATCTTGCAGTTAAGTGAGAGACAAATCAGTGCAGAGGCTGTTTAAAAGAGGGTGCAGTGAACAAACTGTGGCAGATAGATACCTGCAGAGAGATAATACACACCAGGGCACCTTTTTCCATATCTTACAGCCATTGTGCTTGAGCAATGAGACTCAGATATTAAATTGCACAAGTTACTTTGTCAGCACTCCTATGGCAGCCCCAGAAAAAGAAGTGGTTGTGAGAGGATTGCTGCCCTGTCATTGTTCTTACAGAGGCAGGAGGGGAGCAGGAAAGGAGAGAGCAGGAGCCTTGAGGAGGTCCTATGGCATGGCTGGTTGGTCTCAGGGCCCAGGCCCTCTGCACCCATGGGGTGTGTGCACACCCAGGGCTCACCGCTGCTGGCTTGCATTGGGCAGGCAAGAGCACCACTCCTCCCAGGTCAGCCTGTCAGCAGAAGATGGAAAGAAGAGGGCTATCCTCCAAGTTGTTTGTGTGTTCACTGGCACTTATCACTCTATAGCCTCGCCAGCTTGACCCCAAATTTTGCCTGCATTCTTAAAATAGAGACTGGCTCATCCCAGCTGCCACATCCATCAGCCTCTGTTATTTTAGTGCTTTATCTCCCTCCTTGTTAATATAAGCCTGTAATGAGAATGTGTGGATCTCTAATGAACTACTGCTAAAGAACCACTTTTCTGGTGCTTCCTGGTAATCCCTCAAGGTGCAGCTATTAAGAAGAGAGCGCAGACAGATTTTTTTTTTCCAGTGCTGCCTACCAACACAGCAGGTAATGCAGAGAGTTAGGAAGCTGAAGAGAGGTTAGAAGGAGGGTCTCATTCTGGTATTTCTCAAAAGGCCAATTGCTGCTTCATGGCCAAGTGCTTGGTGCTCAGAACTGGATGGGCACACACTTGCTGAGTATCTCTCTCATGATGGAGCGAGGGGACTGTGGGTTAAAGGCTGTCAGCAGGTGCTCAGAGCATTCCTCACATCCCATCATACTCCTCCATGCTCACTGAAAGCAATTGGATGTGAGCTGGTGACGAGCCAGGAAGCTTCCTGCAATCTTCTGGTTCCAGAGCACTGCAGGACTTTGCAGGCAAGTATTCTGGATTCCCAGGCAGGGAGGGTAAGGCTCTGTTCAAAACATTGCCTGCTGCTGCTTCAGGCACCTTTAGATCAGAGTAGGCTGGTGGGATGCAAGCTGCCCCACACGGGCTGAGCAAAGTGAACAGGTAATGTATTTCTTTTGTGCCTAGTAAAGATGTTGGCTCTCGTTTGGTCTATGCTGAGATTTTACCAGGGTGGCAGAAGGCCCATGCACTAAAGCAACTGTAGTTACTTCAGTGCTGTTGCAGGACCCTACAAACTAGCTCTGTAATCCAGGAGGGGACTTCATATAGCACATAAATGTTCCTGATTATCAGTCTCCCACAGGTTTATAAACCCCTCCCTGGAAGTTAATGAATCTGCTTCCCGGGGCAGAGGGAAACAAACTATTCGCAGCTTCATTTTAATGACAAACCTCTACCCCACTGCATTTACCAGGGAGGAAAGCAAAGGGTTTAAAGGCAGAAGAGGATTGTGCAGGGAAAGAAGGAAGAAAGCATATCATACAGAAAGGACAGGACTTAATCCACAGCAATGACAGAAGGGTGCAGTGTTCCAGAGGCTGGAGAGAGACCAGCACAAGCCTGCCAGTTTTTTATATGACTGCAAGCACGGTGCTGTGGAAACCTTTAATGACAACCCAAGCCTGGACGTCTCGCTCACAGAGAGGGCAGCACTGAGCCTTTGAGGCCCCAGGCCAGGGTAGCTGCATAGTCCAAAAGCCAGGCTTGCTGCCCACCCTGAAGGTCAGGCTGCCCTCAGGCTCAGCCACTTGCTCCCCATGTCCAAAAGATGCCCTATCCTGGGCACCTAGTGAGCCACATGAAGAGTCACTATCAGGGAGCTTCTACTTAGGCAGCAGAAGGTCAGAAGGCAGTTGGAAGGTGTCACCCAGCAGCTGTTCTGAAGAGATGGGAAAGAATGGGAAAGCACCATTTCAAAGAGAAATCCTCTCTGCTTCCTGTAGCAGATCCCTGGAGAGTTTTCTTGTGCAAGCGAGAGGCAGCACTGAGGGACTCTGACACGTAGTCAGGGCTAGCCCCAGACCTGGCCCTGGGGGATTGCACTGTCCGACCTTCTAGCACATACTGCAAGGACTGACCTCTCCTTTTGCAAGGGGAACACCACAAATACTCTGAGGCTCTTGTAACACTTTCCACTCCATACCCCAGTGGACACAGTTCACTTTGGCACACCTTGGCTCACATGGGAGGAATGTCCTTGTTTAGGTTTTAGCTGTGTTTAGGGAGTCACGATTTTGAGGGCCTTACTGATTTGTGCTACTGGAAATACAAATCAGTGTGGAAAACTGGAACTATAAAGTAATGAAACACAATTACTCAGAAGATTGTCCATCTCACTGCTCTCTCAGCAGGACTTCTGTTGTGACAGAAGAGCTCTTGTCAGAGAAGTTTGGGTGTCCACAGCACCTAACTTTCCTTCACCCTTTTCCCTTTTTCCCCTCAGCTGCTTCTGTCCTTTCCCTCCTGTCTGACTCAATATAATCAATGAGAGGTGGAGGGCAAAATAATGAAGGCAACAAATGAGGAGGAAAGGAAGAAGAAAAGGTGTTGAATGGAAGGCCAGTGCTAGGGAAGGCCAGGGCTGAGATCAGGCTTTAACAGTACAATACAAGTTTCCTTGTACAGCCCTGGGGAGACAAAAGGACATGCTGATTATTGTACATGTCTCAGGGGAATTCAGCCTAGCTTTCAGGAACAGAATGCAAGAGAAGAGGGGGGTCAGATGCAACTTGGCAGCATCTGTCCTTCAGTAGGGACTATATATAGACGGTGGTATGTGGGGGTGATCACACACTGGGATGCTAAGAATAGAGTAATCCTGATAGTAACTCAGTGGCTTCACTTCTTGCCCGAGTACAGCCCAGGGAACCTGTCTTGAAACTTTGCAACCACCCTCCCTGCTGGCGAGCACCACTTCTTCATAAGAAACAAAATACGCTGTGGGTAGTCAGAAGTGGTTTGCAGTGCATTTTAGGAGTAAGCTGTAATATGTTCATGCCATCTTCCCCCTTGCGTCCCCAAGGCACCTCCTGCCTCATCTCATAAGGAGAGCTCAGTCTACAAGGTAGGAAGACAAATTACATTACCAGTCTTCCCCGATCTCCTAAAATCTTTCTAGCAGCAACCTAGCAAACTCAGGCCGTGTCAGAGTTGTATATTGTATACAGTTCAACTTCCCATCCAATGCACCTTCCACTCTCTGATTGCATCTCTCATCTCACAGCTGCCCCCCCCTTCCCTCAGCAGCTACAATGCCATGGAGTCCAACACTTCATGGCAACCTGTCAGTGTTTAAATTTCATTCCCGGCCTTATGTGAAATGTAGTCTTATCACAGAGTTTCCATGGAGAGGTAAGAACTGCCTTGTTTTAGTATAAAGCATTACCAAAAGGGAATGAACTCAGGCAGGAGCTAACCAGCATTTAGGTATGCTCCTCCCAGAACTTCCTGCTCAGCCGAACCACAAACCCAGTAGTTGCTAGATGCAACTTCTTTCTGAACATCTGTGTTGACATTTTGGTTACCAGAACAGTTTGTTTTTCCCCCAGGGCCTAATCTTTACTTGTGCAAGGAAGGATACCCCCGTGGCTAAAGCACTAGAGGGGGATTCAGGACACCTTGATGATTTTTTTGTGTGACCTTGGAGAAAACGCTGAGACTGTGAGCCATAAATGGCAGCAGCCTGTAAACCAGGACATTTTTCAGCAGTCTTTTGCTCTGGCTCTTAAATTTTGTCTCAGCTGCCCACCTGAACGCAGAGATCCAGTAAGATACTTTTTCTATGCCTTGTCTATTAAGTATGTGAATAACATCACATCTTCATGGCAATGCCATATTTTTATTGGAAGCTATTTTACAGGAGAATATTC